TGGGGGAGGGGGAGGAGGAAGGGAAATGTGCCTGTGTGCTCCTGAGAGAGAGTGCACTGGGTCCTCCCTCCTAAAAGCTTTTAAGGGTGGAAATCTTAGGGGAGGTCCCAACAGAGGATCTCAATAGAAGATTCCTTTCAAGGTTGGGGTCTCCACTGATTGATTGGTCAGTGCTGGGGCAGGGGGTCATTATTCAGTGCAGCTGGTCCTGAGGTCAGCCTTGGTGTCCCTTGCCCGCTTTTCTGGGCCTGGAGCTGAAATACAACTGAGGCCTAGACGTTATCTCTAGGGAGGAAAGGTCAGGGGGTCTAAACCAAATAACCAGAGATATGCTAGGGGAGAAAAGGTCACCCTGGGGATGAGGTGTCACTGTACAATTGTCCTTTGCTAGGCACCCGTGGCTTTCCACCCTAGTGACCTGTACCTGGCCCATCATCCTTGCTCTGTTCATGTCTGTCTTAACTGCCTACCAGAAAAACATTGACCCAGTTAAAGCTTTCTGCCTTTACTTCCCCAAGGAGACTAGGCTCTTGGCAGGAAGGTCTGAGTAGCTTTTTGGTACAGGGATGATATGTACCCTTAGAGTCTCCCATGTGCCTTGTTCATGCACAATCCCCTTAAATAGTTTTGGTCTATCCCTTCTGTGGTAGAGAGGGTCAGGTGTGGAGAGATAAGACTCATGTTCTCCCAAGACATCTCCCCCATCCCAATCATCCTTACCATGGAAGGGGTATGAAGATTATCTGGGATGTGTGTGGGGGGGGGGTAGGCCTCTGGCTCCTATAACCCTTTAAGGGTGTTGAATCTCTGATTCTAAGGGATGTAGTAGTCCCTGAGAAGGTAGCTGGAGGAAGAGACTGGGTTGGAATCCACCCTCTCTTCTCTGCCCTGGCTGAGAAGGTATGTTACAGCGCACAATGTCTCCTAGAATGCCTGTTGAGCCCTTATCCTGTCTCCTTGGAAATGCCCAGGGTTCTCCACTCTACTTCTCAGAAGAACAATATCCTTGAGGGGTGGGGGGTGGGGGGTGTTGGGCTAGGTTGCAACCAACCCTAGCACTCCATCTGCCATGGAGACACTGCCTGGGCTTTATATGTGCTCCCACTATGGGACCTAGCTCTTGGGGTACCTGAGGTGCACTATCACCCCATGGGAGCCCAGGAAGTCAGGACCTGGCCCTCAGGCTCAGATGACTGGGCTGTAACTGCTTCCTGTCCCTGAAGGGGACACATGCTCTCCAGCCTTCCTATGAGGGTGGGGGGCTTGGAGGAAAGGCTCCCAGCTCCCTGCCCCCCCATGGTGAGTTGAAGTGTAAATGAATCGGAAACATATGGAGCGGATTTTCTTTGAAATGCAGATGGGTTGGGGGGGCACCATGTGTGCCTGGTTTTTAGGGGGGGTCCCAGAGAGCAAGGAGGCTGAGAAGAGAGAGCTGACCCCCTCCTCCAGTCCAACCATGGGACATCAGCTGTGTAAACTCCTGTGGCCCTGAGTGACCACACCCACCAGGGCTCTTGCCTTCCTGTGGGGAGGAACTGGGAAGGCAAGTGGTCCCTGTGGGCCAAGAGCACTGAGGTCATCATCCCCCCCTTGTCTCTGCAGAGGGCAGAGAGCCCCCAAAGAACAGAGCCATGCTGGGTTGGGGGTCATCAGAGGTAGGAGCTCTGGAGAAAGCAAGAGGTGGAGGAGGAGCTGGGGCAGATGAGGGGACAGAGACCCTGCGGCCCGTGGGGAACCAGCTCCCAGAAGCTGGGGCTAGAGCAATAGCAGAAGGAACTGAAGTTAAATTATAGTGGTGACTTCTGGTCAGTGCAAGGGCTGGTCCTGGGGTTTAGAAACAGACTAAAGAGTCCTCAATCCTGCAGGAATGATTGGTTTTTCCAGACCCGAGCAGTCACTAGACCCCATCATACTTTCTCCTCAACACTCAGCAAGGTTGCATAGTAATTGCCTGTGGGCTCTGTGGGCCTCAGGGACTGGGTCTGCTTTGTTCTCCTTGGTACCCTGCCCCTGGCGCAGATCTGGTACACAGTAGGAGGGCTGTGTTGATTAAACAATACATATTTTTCTCTCCCACCAGACTGAGTGCTTCTCATGGCAGAACTGTAATACCAATTTTCAGCATAGTGCCTGAGAGGGATTAGGTGCTCAATAAACGTTGAGGAATGAATCATTGAGTGGGACAGACCACAGGGAGATGGGACTCCCTGGGGTTTCTGGCTGAGACCCAACAGCCTCTGTTGTACACCTCTCTTTGGCTTGAAGGACCCCTGAGTAATTTGTAGGCTAGACTAAGGGAAGGACTTTGTTGTACTTAGGGAAGGAGAGTAGAGGATAGGCAGCTTCTTCCTTGAAAAGGTCTGGACTAGGGGAGACTGGGGCAGGGCAATTACCCTGATTTTGTGGCAGAGGTCGGAGGTCGCCTCTGTTCTCTCCTCAGCTTCAGGATTTTTCAGAAGGTGGGAAAGTCCTTCTTTCCTCATGTTGTGAGTGTGATCCTTTCTCCAGGTCTGGGTTTCTTGAACTCAAACCAAGGCAATGGACCCCATCTCTGAGCCTCAGAGGTGGGGCTTTGAGGTTGTTAAGCTGTTGTGGGCACCACGGACTGTCTGTATTGGTTATTAACAGCTGTCTGAGAACACAGGGTTCGGATCCTAAAAATACCCTGTCCAGCCAGAGCCTAGGAGTTGCCAGTGTTGGCTGGTGTAGCAGTGGCTGCATGTTGATCAGACAGACACAGAATCAGGAGAGACTGGGAGAGGGGAAACTGAGGCAGCATGAGGAGGAGATGCACAGGAGGCAGAACCTTTGTTTTATATGGAACAAAGATTTATAAAATTAGTGGTGCCGGTTAGTCAAATTATGGCAACATTTAGGATAATTTGTCATCCTACACTGCAGAGAATTTCCTTCTGAGATGTATCAGGAGACACGTCTGATATCAGACATAAAAATCAAGTCGTCAATAATAACCATTTCAAGTCCAGCTTCAGGATGTTCCAAAATAAGTGTGTGGCAAAGAAAAAAATTTTTCCCAACTAGACTTTTCTCTTTAAAAAATTTTTTAAATTGATTTTTAGAGAAAGAGGGAGAGGGAGAGAGAGAGAGAAACATCAGTGTGAGAAACATGGGTTAGCCGCCTCCTGCACCTCCTAGGAATTGAACTGGCAACCTTTCAGTGCATGGAATGATACCCAACCAACTGAGCCACATGGCCAGGGCCCAACTAAGCTTTCCTGAGCCACTGCCCCCATCCCTACTTCCTAGAGCTCTTACAGCCCAAGTCCCAATGAGGTTCTTGCACACCCTGTTTTATAGGCCCCCCCAGGCCTCTGACCCCCAGGCCTCTGTGTAGCCCCTCTCCCCTGGAGAATGGAGCTACACAGTGGTCCCACAAAGGGAAAAAAAGCTCAGGCTCTGGAGGCAGATGCCCTGTGACCTTGGTCCTTGAGCTGACCTTTCTGGGCCCCTTTGTGAAATCATGGGATGGGGGGACTGTGGGGCTGGGCCCTGGCCCAGGCCTGGAGAAAGGGCTCTTTTGGCATCCATCCAGACCCCTGACGTCAATGACTCTCCAAATAATGGAATCAATATTGGGTGGGGTGGGGGGGCAAGCGTGAACCAGGCCCCAGCGATTAGAAACAGATCAGCACAAACCCACAGCTGATTCTGATAGAGCTGCCTTGGAGAGCTAGGGTGGGAGGCCTGGAAAGAGGTGGACCTGGGTGGGGAGAGGGGGGCTCAGGAATGGGAGGCGGAGCCCCCGAGTGTCCAGAGCATGAGGACACTACACAAGTGGGCATACTCTGGGGCTGCCTGGGTTGGAATGATAAGGTGGGGACCCGTGTCCTGGTCCCTTCCTCCTCTGAGCCTGTGGGGTTCCAAGGCTGGGGAAGTTTGTGAATGGAGACTTCTTTCAGCTAGTGAGTGATAAAGAGTGGGCAAGGAAAGTTCAGTATTCATCTCTCTGCATCCCAGACTAGGGCCCCTAGACCAGATTGTATTAAGGGTGATAGGTTATACCGAAGGTAGAGAGAGAGTTCTCAGTGAGACCTAAGGGAGACGACCTTTTGCTTCGAGGCAGAAGGCATTCATCCAAGATTGAGAGGTGGGTATCCCCCTTACATTGGGAGCCTGGCCTCCTCCATCAGCTCCTGTCCTCTCAGCCTCCTAGAAGGCAGAAGGTGAGGATGGAGGGGGCCATGGGGTCCACAGAGGGCTGGCCTGGCGGCAGCTGACAAAAAACAGGAAGAAGGGCTGGAGGAGCAGCTGTAATTATGGGGCATTTATTATTAATCAGATGAAATTGCTGGAAGCAGCTGGTGTAATCTGCGTAGCGATACAGACTCTGCATGCTCCCCCCAACACACACTCGCCACACACAGCCTGAGTTTGCTTTCACAGTTTTTTTCTTGTGAAGGTTGGATGGCTCTATATGTGTCTTTGTGTCTGTGTATGTTGGTGTGTTTCTGTCTGCATTTTTTCATGTCCTCCTGTACCCTGCTCTCCCTCTTTTGTCTTTTTTCTGACTGTCCCTGTCATTCTTTGGCCTGATGTGTGTCTTTTTGTCTCTGCCTTCCTCTCTGCCTCCCTCTCTTTGGGCCTATCTCTTGATGTGTCTGTATTTGTTACAACCAGCCAGCCTGTCTCTAACACCTTGTTTTAGTTTCTGGCCATTTCTATCTAGTTGGTGGTTTCTCTGAATCTCTGGGCAGAGTTGGATGACACAGAGTCCCTTTCTCATGAGTATGTGTTTAGTTTATTTTATTACTGATTTCAGAGAGAGGAAGGGAGAGGGAGAGAATCATTGGTTGGCTGCCTCTTGCACACCCCCTACTGGGGATATAGCCTGCAACTCGGATGTGCCCTGACTGGGAATCGAACTGTGACCTCCTGGTTTATGGGTTGACACTCAACCACTGAGGCACACTGGCTGGGCTCATGAGGATGTGTTTAGGCATCTGGTCATACCTTTGGGACCAGTTTTTGGAAAAGAAGGGCTTTTGGACTCTGAGGATCTCCAGGGATCTTGTAGAAGGTGAGGGGTCCCTGTTACGTGACTGGAGCCTATGGAAGCATTAGTGGCTTTCAAGATAGTCCTGAGTACAATGCCAGCTCCCTTGCCAACTATCAGTTGTGCAACTTTGGGCAAGGTGATTTTGTTCTCTGATCCTCAGTTTCTTCATGTGTGAAATGTAAACAGGATTACCTTCAAAGGTTGTTTTGATGATTCAGTGCAAAAATGTATGTTAAGTACTCATCAAGGACCCTGAACAAGTGCTAGCTGTTAACTGTATTATTATTGGAAAGACACTGTGCAGGTAAGAGAGACATCTCCAGAGGCAAACTGGTATAGCAGAAAGGCTTTGGAGTGAAGACTTAAATCTGTGTTCTGGAACTAACCAGCTATGTGGTCTTGGACAAGTTACTTAACCTCCCTGAATATCAAATTTTTTCAACTGTCAAATGTGAATAGTACTAGAATCTGCCTCATAGAGAAGTCAAAAAAATTAAATGAGATAATGCATAAAAAGTGCCTAACACAGTTCCTGGCACATAAAAGATGCTCAATAAATCAGAGTGATGACAAGGCAGAGGAAGAGGATAGTGAGACGGTGAGTGTGTATGCCCTTCCAGTGACCATGTGTCTCCGTGTCGTATGCATGTGAGAATGTATGTGATATGGAGGTACTTGTGTCTGTGAACTGGTTGTGTGGAGGTTATGGATTATCTGTGGGTGAGAATGAGTGTACATCTGTATGTAGTGTCAGCCACTTGCTTCTGGCCTCCCTTTGCCCCCGTGGTTCAGAACCTGAAGTCAGCAAGGGGTGCCAGATGGAGTTTGGACTACTCCCAACTTTTTTTCTTCTGGATGCTTCTCTGCTGCCTGCCCCAGTCTCCTGTTCTTACAGTGGGGTTGTGCATATAGAACAGGCTGAGTTGGAGTAAGGCTTGTGGCTTCTCTGTGACCTCTGATTTGTGCCCTTTGCCCTTCTAGAATTCAGCCTTGTCACATCATCCGCCCCCTTGGTTTTGGAAGTCTCAGAAAGAGTTTGGTCTGGAGGAGGAGGACATTGATGTGCTCGGTGTGCGGCCAGTGGTGAAGAGGTATGTGCTGGGAACCCAGGCGAGGCAGGTCAGTCTCAGGGCATCAAGCAGATATGGTGGGTGGAGCTGTAGGTCTGGGGCCGTGAGTGAAGGAGGGCCTGAGATCCCTTTCTTCTTTCCCCCTGTCTTCTTCCTCCTGAAGCCTTTCGTGCTCTCGTAACAGGTCTGTAAAGGGGGAGAGACTTACCCACAGTCATACAAGCAAGAGCACAGCCAGGTCAGAAAACTGGGTTCTGCATGAGAGGACTGAATCCCGGATGTGGGAGTATGTTTTTGTCTCATTGTCAGGCTCCCTTTCTGCCCCCAAAGCATCTCTCTGGCTTGATTGGGGAAGCAGCTGGGTTTAGAGGAGATGGGATGGGGGGTCAGAAAGTCCAAAATCTTCTGGGGCCAGTCGTAGGGTTGAGCCTAACTCTTCCTGCCTTTCATTCAGTACAGGCGAGGCCCCTGGATTGGCAGCCCGGGGGTGGGGTTGTCCAAGGAATTGAGGCGCTGAAGCGGAACGGAAGGGCCTATTGTCCAAAACCCGCCAGAAGCCCACAAAGGCCAGCCGGGCTTTTCATCCCAGCTTCCAAACAGACTGGCCATTTTCCTGGCCCCGGGAGTGGTGGGGACTTACCCATTTGAACTAGGACTGGGGTGTTGTTCATAGTCGGGTAGGGTATCCCAGGCTGACACATGGCCTTTAAAGAGACTTAAAATGGAGTTGGGGTTGTGAAGAGGAGGAAGGGAGGCTCCAGAGGGCTGTAGAGAGTTAAACTTCCATCTTCACTGTTCCCAGAGGACCAAAGGACATGGAATATCTGATAGAAGTTCAGATTTATTAGTAGATAATAAATATTTATAGGGGACACACCTGGGGGGAGTCTGATGGCTTGTTGGGAAAGTGAGCTACTGAGTTGTGAGGGCACATAATCCTCCCCTTAATTTGGGAACACCTTAGGGAGCTAGAATAGGAGCTAAAGAAAAGCAGGTTAGTGGTCAGGCAAGAGAATGGGCTCCCTGCAGCAGGAGGGACTGAAGCCAGATAGCAGAAAGGACTTCCTGCCAATGAACAGTAGCTCAGATGCCCTGACCCTGTCCCCAGGGATCACAGAGGATCAAAAAGAGCAGGGGAGCTGGAGAACATGGGGGGGG